TATTATATGTAAGATCATTTTTCTTGAATAATTGGTGTTTACTGCATTAACATTATCAGATTTAAAATTGTCTTTCTTGAGATATTAATGTTTATTGCATCTACATTATTATATTTAAAATTGTTTTTCTTGATGAAATAAACACTGGGGAAAAAAGAAAGATGTCAATTTTTCTAAAAATAATAAAGAAACTATAGACTGGGAGAAAATATTTGTAAACCACACATCTAACAAAGCACTATCATCTAGAATAAAGGACTGTCAAAACTCAATAATACAAAAATAATCCAATTAGAAAATGGGCAAAATATATGAACAGACATTTCACCAAATAGGATATACAGAGAGCAAAGAACACATAAAAAGAGTTCAACATCTTCAGCTATTAGGGAAATACAAATTAAAAAGAGCTATCGCCCTAGCCGGTTTGGCTCGCTGGATAGAGCATCGGCCTGGGGACTGAAGGGTCCCAGGTTCGATTCCGGTCAAGGGCATGTACCTTGGTTGCGGGCACATCCCCTGTTTCTAACTCTCTATCCCTCTCCCTTCCTCTCTCTGTAAAAAAAATTAAAAAATATATTAAAAAAAAAGAGCTATCACTACACACTGGTCAGAACGGCTAAAATTAAAATAGTGAAAACACCAGATGCTGGTGAGGATGCAGAGAAATTGGATCACTCACACACTGCTGGTGGGAAAAAAATGGTACAACCCCAAAACAGTTCGGTAGTTTCTTTAAAAAACTAAACATGCAACTACCATATGATTCAGTAACTGTACTACTGGGCATTTATCCCAGAGAAATGAAGATTTATTTTCTCAGAAAAATCTCTATTTAAATGTTTATAACATCTTTATTCATAACAGCCCCAAACTGGAAACAACCCAGATGTCCTTCAATGGATAAAAAGTTAAACACATTGTGGCTCATCCACACCATGAACTCCTTAACAGGAATGAATTATTCATACATCAACAATAGGAATGAATCCCCAGAAAAGTATGCTAGTTTAAAAAGCCAATATGGGCTCAGGCAGTTTGGCTCAGTGGTTGAGCATCGACCTATGAACCAGGAAGTCTTTTTCCAGTCGGGACACATGCCTGGGTTGCAGACTCAATACCCAGTAGGGGAAGCAGGAGGCAGCCAATCAACGGTTCTCTCTCATCATTGATGTTTCCGTCTCTCTCTCCTTCTCCCTTCTTCTCTAAAGTCAATAAAATATATTAAAAAAGAAGAAAAAAGTTCACATACTATAAGATTCCATTTACATAACATTCTTGAAATTTCAGAATTACAGAAAGAGAGTACAGATTAATGGTTGCTGGAGTGGTTAAGGACTGGGGGGGGAGGAGTGGATATGGTTATAAGAGGCCTGTGGCAGGCTGGGAATATTCTGTGTTGTGACTGTATCAATGTCAATACCCTGGTTGTGATATTGTACCATAGTTTTAAGATGTTACCATTGTGAGAAAGCTGGGTAAAGGGCACATGGAATCTCTATGTATTATTTCTTTCCTTGTTTTTTCTTTGTAATATTTCTCACAACTGCACGTGAGTCTATTATATTATCTCAAAATAAAAAGCCTAATTTAAAAAATACACAAAATGGGATGACAGATGTAAACCAGGAAAAAGAACTTGCCACATAAGTGATTAATAATCTTAATCCCAAAGAAAAAAAAAATAACCTTAATCTGTCCAAAGCTTTTATAAATCAATTTAGAAAAAAGAAAAAAAAAGAGCAAGGAACACAAATAGGTTCTTCCCAAAGGAAAAATACAAGCAACTAATATTCATCAAAACAATCAGGTGCATGTGCAGAATCTTACTTACAGAGATCTTCGCTGTGGCATATAATCTGTCACACCCCCAGATAAGGGATTATTGACAGCCATATTGCAATGGCAGCCATATATGTAATGAAATCAGTTGCAGAAAATTATGCTTGAGAAAAATAATCACAGAAAAATAATATGGGATATCAAGGGGGAAAAGTTGATTATAAAACAACTGTAGTAGGTGATCCCAATTTTATTTCAAAAGATAACATTTCTTAATATACATGTTTACCAAAAAGACTAGCATTCACACAGAAGCGTAACCATGGTTACCTCAGTGGGATAGTATCATGGGTGATAAATAAGTGTTTTTTTCCTTTGTGCTTCTCTGCATTATCAAAATTTTCCAGCAAGAATTGTGTATTAGCCCTGGCTGGTTTGGCTCAGTGGATAGAGTGTCGGCCTGCGGACTGAAGGGTCCTGGGTTCGATTCTGGTCAAGGACACATGCCTGGGTTGCGGGCTCGATCCCCAGTGGGGGCTGTGCAGGAGGTGGCCGATCGATGATTCTCTCTCATCACTGATGTTTCTATCTCTCTCTCTCTCTTTCCCTTCCTCTCTGAAACTAATAAAAATAAAAACCAGTAAAAAAAAAGGTGAAGGGAGCCTGCCTGGTTTGGCTCAGCAGATAGAGCGTCAGCCTGCGGACTGAAGGGTCCTCAGTTTGATTCCAGTTAAGGGCACACGCCCGGGATGCGGGCTCGATCCCCAGTGGGGGGCATGCAGGAGGCAGCCGATCAATGATTCTCTCTTATCATTGATGTTTCTACCTCTCCCTCCCTCTCCCTTCCTCTCGGAAATCAATTAAAAAAAAAAAGGTGAAAGGACATAAACATCCACATATTGTATCTGAATAGAAAAGCTAGCCACCTCTCCCCATCCAGATCACAGTCTTACCTGTAACAAGCACTTGATCCGTTCTCCAGGGGTCATGATTCCCGTGGTGAATACGCCAGATAGCATCCCAGCTGCAAACAGCTGGGGGTAGCTGTATTGAAAACAAAACAGAGGCAAGTACCTGTGACTACCTGCCCAGGACAGAGACAATCCCAGCAGAGGATGACTTGGTAAGAAAAAATAAGTCCTTGGACTGGGCAGAAAGCCCAGCACAGATAAATCATATTTTGCACAAAAGCCAAGTTCCAGGTGTATTCTGATGTCAAATCTCCCAGGGCAGGGGCCTCAGGGTCAAGAGCCACGCGATGCCCACCAGTACGTGCAGCGGCCTCACCTGCAGGGAGAGAAGCTCTAGACACAGTTTCCTCCCCGGGGCTGCCACGCACAGTGACTATGGACAACTCCCCAGCTCTCTGGGCCCTGCTTTCCCGTCCATAAAACTCAGGGTTGCTGGGGGTGGGGAGGAGCCACTGATCAGGACCTGGGTCTCAGTCGGTCCCAGATCCGCTCCAATCTCACCTCCTCTGGAGCACCACGGGCCTGGAGGGCAGCTGTGGCCACCTCCACGGGCGGAGGGGCAGCCTGGTCAGTCCCAAGGAGTGAGCTCTAAGAGACTGAGAGGGTCAGACAGGGGTGGGACCTAGACAGGCATGGTGGGTCCTGTGGCCTCTGTGCAGGGAACAGGCCCCAGTGGCCAGCGATATGGCTCCTCACCCTGGCCCCACAGAATAAGCCACACAGAATGTTTGGAGGAGTCCTAGCATCTGAGCCCACAGCTGTCACGCCCCTTCTGGCATCTTTCCTTCTGGGATGAGCAACACCAGGCTGGTCTAGAGGGAATGGGACTTACAGCCTCAATGAACATCTCAACAGAGTCCCCACAATTTAGCAAATGTTGCTGAAGAACTTGACTTACTCGCCTAAGCCTCAGGCCGCACCTAACCCCAAGCCTCTGACAGCTGAGCCTCAGGCCAGTTCCAACCAAAGGGGGGGCGGTGTCTGTGAGTGCTGGCCCTTCCTGGGCGTCGACCCCAACCAGCTGAGCCTCAGGCCAGTTCCAACCAAAGGGGAGCCCGAGCCCTGAGGAACAGTCTCAACAGCCCGGTCTGTCCACACACTCGCCCCAGGCAGGGCCACGCATCCGCCTGGGCCATGCAAGCCCAGCACCCAGGCTGACTGCTGAACAGCCAAGAGACGTATTCATGGTCTCCTTCACGTCCCGTTCACACTGCTGTCCCCACGGGGAGACCTCTGAGCAAATACACGTCCCCTTATGAGGCCAGCGCGCTCCATTCTCCCAGGAAGCCCGGACCCTAGGCCGGGCTCACCCCCACCTCCTGGAACAGGGACTTTCCTGGGAATGGGTGTCTGTGTGCACAGGGCACCAAGTAGACACTCTGCCTGCCTCCCCGCTTCTGCCACCTCGGGGGGGGGGGGGGGGGGG